GGCGCCCCCGCACTTAAAAAAATACCCCTCAAAAAAAAAAAAAAAAAAAAAAAAGAAAAGAACCACAGGAAATGAAAAATTCTCCCACCTTTCATTTGAAAAAGCACTTACTTCCTCTTACATATTGGTTCTTCTAAATGAAAAAAGATGAGCTTGTGTAAAGATAAAACTGACGTCTCCCACTGACATATTGTTTAAGATGCTGAGCAAGAGAGAAACTACAAAAAGCTAAAATGACTTAGACACGGTATGATGTAAGAGGTAATTTACGGCTCCCAGGAGGCACTGCAAAGTCAACTGCAATTTTCAGCCAGCAAAATAAAATATTTAATTTCAGAAGATGAAAATCTCAAGCTATGAAAAATGCAATTAGATAATTCGCATTAAAATAGGCAGATGGTAAAGATTTCTCTTATTTCCTGAGCATAATGGAAACCAGGAAAACAACCACATGTCCTAGGGCTCCAACCTGAGCTCTACCCTCTTCGGCTAAACTTTCCCCCAAACATGGGTTTTGGAACTTATTTTCTTACATACACACAGACATGTTTTTAGTTTAACATGGAGTGAACACTGTAAAACTTTTTGAAAAGAGTTTAAGTTTTTATTTTATAAAACTTCTAGTCATTTTAAAGAATCTAGAAGCTCAATATGTGTCTGTTAAAAATGAAAAGAAAATGGGGCCAGCAGTTGGCGTAATGGCTACGTCGCTGGACTTCTGTGTAGTCGACTGCAGTTCAAGTCCCAGACCTGGTGGCTTAAACTCACACCGGGCGCGTGTGCGTGCATGCCCAAGATCCTGAAAGGAGAATGGAAGAGAAGGGATTGCAGCATGGCCATCCCTCCTGGGAGGTGATTCCATGCTTTCTGTCTCTCTGTCCCTCTCATTGCTTTGGGGGGGGGGAGAGGTTTTTGCTATAAGGCACATCTGCTCGGCATAAAGAGAGGGACAGAGAGACAGAAAGCGAGAAATCACCCCCCAGGGGGGATGGTCACGCTGCAGTCCCCGCTCCTCCATTCTCCTCTTGGGATCTTGGGCACGCACACACATGCGCCTGGCGTGAGTTTTAAGCCACCGGGTCTGGGACGCGAAACGCGTCTACGTGGGAGTCCAGAGACATAGCCATTACGCTAACTGCTGGTTCCCTCTGTCCCTCTCTTTATGCCGAGCAGATGTGCCTTATAGCAAAAACCTCTCCAAAAGGAAAAAAAAAATGAAGGGAAAAGGATTATTTTTCTCTTCAACTGTGGTTAAAGTGGAAGGAAAATTAGGACCAACAGACTGCATCAGTTATGTCACTGGACTCCCACGTAGTCGACTGAGGTTCAAGTCCTGGACTCAGTGACTTAAAACTCACTCCAGGTGCGTGTGCATCCATACCCAAAATCCTGAGGGGGGAATGGAGGAGAGGAATTGTGGCATGGCCACCCCCTCCTGGGGGGTGATTTCTCGCTTTCTGTCTGTCTCTCTGGTGAGCGCAAGCACCCTATAGAAAAAAATCTCTCTAGGAAAAAAAAGAATTAAAAAAAAGGTGGAAGAAAAATCAGGATGTAAGAGTAAGTCATATAGTCCATGGTGTTTTGTAATCCTGCTGCGTGCTCATGAATTCCATGAGTTCCAATTTTTGCTATTAAATAAATATATATGTGATGCAAGAAAAAAATTAGAGAAATTGCTGTCCCATTTATGCCAAGTTAGTTTTATGTTGTATTAATATTAATGAGAAAAACACAACAAATAGATGAAATTTTGGAGTCGGAATCAGCGAGCGCCTCGTCTCCACCTGCAGGAGGAGGAAACACGGGAAGACCAGGGAGGTTCACTGTCTGGCTGAAGACCTTGCCACTTCACGATGGCTGGGTCTGCAGTGGGCTTGTGCGTGGCAACGAGGGCTTGAAATCTAGGCAGTTTCACCCTAGAGACCTCACTCTTAACCCTGACATCAGGCCATCCCCTACTGATAAAACCCAGCTTTTTATTTATTTATTTTTTAAAACTTGGTAGAGGATGCATATACTTGCCAGAGATGAGAGGAGAGGAAAAAAAGACAAAGCACCTCCCACTGGGGTAAGGTCACGCTGCAATCTCTTCTCCATCATCTCTCCTGTCTTGTGGGACTTGGGGCACCCACGCAAACGCTCTCAGCATGTTTCTCAAGCCTCAGTTGGCTGTGTGAGACCCAGCCCATAACCACCACGCCACTGGCACATATTTTTGGGGTCCAATGTGAGTTTTTAGTAAATGAATACAACATGTAATGCTGGAATTAGCATATCCATCCTCTCAAACATTTGTCATTACTTTGAGAAAGAAGTCAAGTTTTATTGATTAAAGTGTACTATTCTTTTGTGATGCTTTATACTTTGTTTGCAAACTTTAACAAATTAAATGAAATTTTGGAGAACTTACAGACTTTGACCTCTCTGGATATAACAGAGGTAAAGTGCATAAAATGCAGAAGTGACTTTAATTTGTGGTAGAATGAGTGATAGCTGTGGCACAGAAACTTTTCTCCTTTAAACAGGATGGTGGGGGCCAGCGGGTGGAGTGGTAGTTAAGGTGCTGGCTCCCACGTGGCTGACTCCACAGTTCGAGTCCCAGAACCGGCAGCTTGAAAAACACGCCAGACACACGTGTGTGTGTGTGTGCCCAAAATCCCATGTGGAAAATGGAACACAAAGGACTGGGGTATGGCCATCCCCTGGGGAGTTAGGGGGTAATTTCTCACTTTCTCTCTCTGTCTCTCTCCAATGAATACACATACCACAGGGCAAAAATCTACAAAAAAAGGAAAAATGGGTGAGAAACTAAACAATGATACTGAGAAGAAAGGATCATATCCCTTTGGGCCAAACATTTAGAAATCTGAAAAGTAGCTGCAAATCAGCTACTACAAATCAGTATTTATGTATTTATTTTAGAGGTTTTCTCCATAGGGTGCATGTGCTCGCTGGACAAAGAGAGGGACAATGAGAATAAAACTGAAGTATCATGCCCCGAGGGGTGGCCACACCTCAACTCTTTCTCTTCCACTCGCCTACTGGGATTTTGGGCACCTACACCCAGCATGAATTTCAAGTTGCCAGATCCGGGACTTGAACTGTGGTTGGCCATGTGGGAGTCAGCACCTTAACCATCATGCCACCTACTAGCCCCAAATCAGCTCATGTTTTAACTACATCAAAACAATCTTATTTTTGGAAGGATCATGAGTAAGACCGAAAACAGGAGGTTCATGATTAAGACTGAAAAAAATAAGACTGAAGCCTTATTTTCGAAAGACAAAAAAGTATTAAAAAGGTTTGCAAAATTCTTTCATAGTATCTGTGGACTCTAGGTTCAGAATACCCTGCACTAAGGTCTGAAATGTTGTGGATAATTCTGAGATCCTAAAGTGTGACGGTTTCTGGACTAAGTTCTCTTAACACAGAGTCTAGTAGTATATACTTAGAAAATTTGGGTGATCTGTTTTGTTTCTGAAAGTTCCATTTAAACCTACTTGGCATTGGTTATGCTATTTTTCACAGCAACTCTTACATGGATAGAGAAAAACAAAATGTGCAAAATCAGCTTTTTCAACTATTCTAATAATGTTCTAATTAAGAATACACTTTCTAAAGAAAACAGCCAGCTACGTAATAACATTCATATTAGTTTCAGGAGAAAATGGCAATGCTGCAGGAAGTATTCATAGTATGCACAATAAACTAAATATTGATAATACACAAACTACAGGGTAACAGTTTCTGTAAGACAAATCTACCGATTGGCATTCATGCCAAACACTCCCATAGAAGGTTTTAATTCTTTTTTTCCTACATAAATATAAGGGAAATATATATGATTTAACTATTTTTTTAAAGGAATTATTTAATTTTATTTATAATAATTTTTTTAAAAGGTTTTTGCCATAGGGTACCTGCACTCGCCAGAAAGACAGAGAGACAGAAAGCAAGAAATCACCTCCAAAGGGGGATGGCCATACCACAATCCCTTCTCCTCCATTCTCCTCTCAGGATCTTGGGCACACATGTACACATGCTCAGCCTGAGTTTAAGTCACTGGGTCCAGGACTTGAACTACAGTTGCCTATGTGGGAGTCCAGCAAAGTAACCATTATGCTATCTGCTGGTCCCTATAATTATGATTTTTAAATTTGACCAGAGAGAGAGAAAGAGGGAAAGTGAGAAAGTAAGCCACCAGGTCCAGGACTTGAACCACAGTCAACCATGTGGGAGTTCAGCCTCTTAAGCACCACATGACCTGCTGGCCCTGGTTTAACTATTTTTTAAAACAATATAAATAAATACTTATTAAATTCTCTACATTGTATGTGCATATGAAAAACGGTTAGATCCTCAATATCTCAATCTTAAAAATAAATATCCTAAGAGAATTATAATTCTTTTAAAAGTATCGTCTTAGTTTAGCTACATATTTTTCTCTTACCTCTTGATCTTTCTCAGTTTTTCTTTCCAGAGCCTCAAATTCATCCAAATCATTCTTTTCTTTTAATTTCAATTCCATTTCTTCATTTTCTTTTCTTAGTCGTTCATAGTCTAACACCAGATTATCATAGTTAGCACGAAGTGAGCTCAACTCACTTTCTAAATATTCCTATTATACATAAGAACAGATTTTCCAGTTAGGGGGGATTCAAATAGTGTAGTCTTTGCTTCCTTAACTAACATTTAGATTAGGCGAATAACTATCAGGTTGTTGAAAAAGTCATGGCGTATTTTTCTGTTTTCCTATGCACAAGTGCATCATGACTTTCCTGGCAATCCAGTAATTTAAATCATTTGATAGTTTAGGTCATTCTCGTTTTCAGTATCTTTCCTTGCCATGTACATTTTGGCATATTAACTAACTTGGAATAAAAGACCATATAAATAAATCATAAATCTGCCTGTCTCACAGGGCAAGTGTAACTGGGGAGATGGGGTGAGTACTGGGGAGCCCCTCTGGCCACCTCCTGAGTACTAATGCTGATCATTTAATTACCCATCTGCTTGACGCCTATGTTAATTTTCAGATGGCTCTGCATTTAGGAAGAGAAGCAGACATGCTGGAATCTGAGACTGAGTGTGACATGATGTCCCAAGTGGCCCTTCCACAGGCGAGGCTCAAAGGCTGGGTGTAGCCAAATGCATGCATGCCACGCAGCTCGCTCATTGCCTAAGGAAGAGCGCCCCTCAGTCCCTGCAACTGAGATATGTTATTATTCACATGCCCAGGTTCACCAATGTGGGCACACCCACAAAATAAATTACAAAATCATTTAAAGTAGTGCATAAAACGACTTTCAGGCCATGTGTACAAGGTACATGGGGCGTAAATGAGTTTTGTGTTTACACGTAGGACCCATTCCCAAGCTATGCCATTATGTATATGCAAATACTCCAAACATCCAAAATCCAAACACTTCTGGTCCCAAGTATTTTGGATAAAGGATGGTCAACCTGTATTATTTACTGACCTCTAAAACTAATGGTGATTGATTATGTCTTAGCTCATTCAAAGAAGCCTATTTCTACATCTGATACTATTATGAGAAAGAGAGAAACTATGGGTTTAATAAAAAGTTATACTAACGGATTCAAAAAACCCAAACTTGTAGTATGTCGTAGAGACACAAAAGCCCTTTGCTTGTAATACTTTATAGGCACTTACAAATGATAAGAAACAGCAGTAAAATGGTATTCCAAAAGTAAAATGAAATTCTCTTTACAGAACACATGTGTACAAATATACTGTATGTCTTTGAACATTCAATATAAACACAGAATCTAAACTTACTGAGGGATTCACAACGGTAGTCCTCACTTCTCAAAGTTCTGATGAAGCTACATATAATACATTTCCTTTTTTTGGTTATTATCTAGCAAAATTATCTCTCCCTGATATATCATTCTTCTACATGTCTAAGAATTTTGGCACTTGTAAAAAAAAAAAATCAGTCTTTTAAAAGAAAAATTATTATTTAACTTTATTTATCATTATCATTTTCATTTTGACCAGAAAGAGATGGAGAGGGAAAGTGAGAAAGCAAGCTGCCAGGTTCGGCACTCCAACTGCGGTCGGCCATGTGGGAGTGTCCAGTGCCTTTAACCACCATCCTACCTGCCAGCCCCCAAATCAGTCTTTTTACCCATACGGGATTAACCAGGTCAAAACAAGGGGCCAGAAAAGCTTACATTAGTCAATACTGTTACCGAAATGGTCAGAGCTAGCCATGTGACACGTGGTCACAGAGCCCACCACCGAGGGGCCTGGAGGAGAGCTTGGTGCTCAGTGCGGTAAAGGACGCGACTTACCTGACTCAGCAGCTTTGTCGCCGGGTTCCACTCCATCTCTGCTAAGGTGTCAAGCGTGTTACTGAGGGCGTCAGACTCTGAACACAGGGCTGTAATTAGGGGAGAAAGAAGTGCATGCATAAATACCAGCTCCTAAAAGCAAAATTAAACACTATTACTAAGAAAAAATTCGGACCAGAAGTGAGTAAGTTCAGACTAGCTAACACATGCTCAAAGTATGAATTCCAAATAATATCAGATGTAATCATGTGATACATTATTGTATGAATTAAGATCACTGGTTGGGGGACCAGTAGATGGTGTAATGGTTATATTGCCGGACTCCCACATAGTCAACCGTGGTTCTAGTCCTGGACCTGGTGGCTTAAAACTCACACTAGGCACTTGTGCGTGTATGCCCAAGATCCCAAGAGGAGGATGGAGAAGGGACTGCAGCGTGGCCATCTCCCCTGAGGGGTGATTTCTTGCTTTCTCTCTGTCTCTCCAGTGAGCACACACATTCTATAGCAAAAATCTCTAAAAAAGTCACTGGTTGAAATTAGTGATAAAATTTAGGATCCTTAATATAATATACATTAAAAAGAACAAATTCTAAATTTGAGATTTGATTACTGTAAATAATAAAATGTCCCTAAAAAATAAATTACAATGTCAGAGACATACTGTTGAAACAGATCCCTATAGAAACGCTATCCTTTCAAGGTTAGCAAAGTTTAAGGCAGATGTGATATAAACACAAATTTAACTGGATAATGATTAAAAACAAAAAAGCCAAAAACACCTGTCTCGTGTATTTCAACTGCAGTGCATCATTCTTGAGTTTTAGGATTAACGGAGAACTTTATGAATGTTTACTTTCTTTTTAAAAATAATGATTTATTTATTATTTATTATTATTATTATTCTTGTTATTATTGTTTAATTTGACCAGAGAGGGATAGAGACAGAGAGAAAGAGGGAAAATTAGAAAACAAGCCTCCAAGTCCGGGACTTAAACATGGTCAGCCACGTGCGCTTTGACCACCTTAACCACCACGCTACCTGCCGGTCCCGATTGTTTACTTCTTTAAAAACTGCTTATTTTCATCCTACTCTCTACTGTATTCACATCTAAAATGAACACACGTTATTTAGACATGCCTGTCACAGTGAGTGAACAGAAAATAAGTCTCTTTATAGTTACGGTGAGAAAGCACTCACACTCGTCAATCTCTCCTAATGTAGTCACAGCGTCCTTGTGTGTTTTTGTTGTTACATTCAGTGGCACGTTAAACTCATTTGCATAGTTTGAGTCCTTCAATTTATTAATTTTGCCAAGGCACCAAGTAACTCTTCGTTTTCTTTTAGCCTAAGAAGAAGAAATCAAAATTACCTCACACAGATTCTGGGCTCAAACATAATAAAACGAGGGAACATATTTCTGCTCTTAAAGATCACTGACTTGGTAGAATTCTTATTAAGTATAGTTTAGTCTTAGGGCATCCTGAAACGATCAAACACGCTCAGACTTTTCAAATCAGTATTTAGACCTATCATAAACTTGATAAAGCTACTGCTTACATTTTAATTTTTACTTCAAGAGAAGCTCCATTAGGACAACTGTTTGAGCCTCTATTTGCTTTTGCTTATTTATAAAAATCACGATTCTTGAATCCTTACTTCGTTTGGCTACCATTTTGTTTTTTTCTCTCACTTTGCTCGTCCTCGTCATCGACTTACTCCTTCCTCGTTCCTCCGTCCCTGCCTGGTTCCCACTCAGCCAGCTGTTCTTACCACTGGCACTGCCTGGCTGGTTCCTAATCACACCACCAGATTCATTCATATTTACTAAGAAGCACACTGAAATAGAGACCAACTAGAAGGGATTTTCAAAAAGTCCAGGCAAAAATGCATGTTATGAAAAACTACGCATGGATTTCAAAAAATTTCTGCCCAAAGTTATTCATGCTTTGGTTTCATGTTCCACAAACTTTTACAGGTCCCCTCATAAATTCTAGACTTCTTAAATGAGAGTCTCTACATGTGGGAGTCAGGGATTGGTGTCTTCAATGAGCTTCTTGGTGGCAAACACACAAAATGTTCTGAGTTTCCTGGGACTGCTGTCCAGGACAGGACGTGTGTCACTACACAATGTAATGGACACAGGGTCTTCTATGTACCAAGCTTCCATCATCTTTTCACTTTACCTTTAGTTCCTGCAGTGATGTGAGGGAAGAAGAGGTCACCAACATCCGGGTTAAGTTTTGAATTTTCTCATCCTGTACTTTTTGAAGCAAATCTTTTTCATCCAAAAGTTGGGCCAGTTGATCTTTTTCCATTGCCTGGGCCCGAGTCTTTAAAGAAACCTGTAATATTGAGTCATGATATAATCAATGTAGCTGGACTTCAAACTTTGAAGGGAGCTTTAACTTACAGAATATTAAACTTACATGTGAACTACGAGAATTTTGGTGGTACTGAAATATACTCTACCTACAAAACACCACAATGCAGTTGCCACTGTCGGTAATTTCTCAAACTTATTTTCAAGCCACTATGTCACATGCCACGTACCACCTAAGAAGGCAGTTTAAACAGTTCTGACCCCCTAACGGTACGTGACTGAGACCCAGAGAAGTCACAAAAGCAGAGGCTTGAAACCCACAGGAAGGGTTGAGACATCCTCATCTTATAAAACTACCATTTGCTATTTTAGCTCATTTTCAAAAGGATCATTAAAATATAAGATTTTTATAAAATATGGGACCTTAATGATGCAAACAAACGATGGTGACAGGCGATCATTACCCTGTATTACCATTCTGTGATGGTAAGGTTAGAAGAGAAATTCAGAGTAACATAAAGTGTAGAGGGAAGTTCTATGTAGTTATATGTGCTCTCTCTTTTTAACCCAATTCCGCAAGTATGTGTGAAAAAATTTAAAAAGTATCTCTATTGGACTGGCTGGTGGCGTGCTGATGAAGGTGACTGGATAGCTGACGACACGGCATGGACCTGGCAGCTTGAAAAACATGCAGGGTGCATATATGTGCGTGCCCAGATCCCAGGGTGCATATATGTGCATGCCCAGATCCCAAGACAGTGGAGAAGGGATTGTGATGAGGCCATCCCTCCTGGGGGTGCTTAACCACTTGCCCTCTCTATCTCACTCTCTCTGGTGAGTGCACATGTCCTATAGCAAACACACACACACACACAAATTAATTTTAAAAAGTATCATTATATGGTCCATTTGAAAATGTCCAATTTTACCCTTTGTAAATGAAAATAAAACCTAAAATCATTTTGAGAAACCAAATCTTAACAAATTAAAGAAAAATTTTATGATTTATTTAAAAACTTTTTTTTTTTTTTTGAGGGGTTTTTGTAAAAGGGACTTTGAGAGGTTTTTGCTAAAGGGCACATGCGCTCACCAGAAAGAAAGTGAGAAATCACACCCCAGGGGGATTGGCCATGCTGCAATCCCTTCTCCTCTATTCTCCTCTCTGGATCTTGGGCGCATACACACATACACACACACACACACACACGCGCGTGCCCAGCGTGAGTTTAAGCCACTGGGTCCGGGACTCGAACCACAGTCAACCACATGAGAGCCCAGCGACATAGCCATTACGCCAGCTGCTGGTCCCTAGTTAAAAACTATTCTAAACTTAAGTTGTAGCAACTCAGATATTCATGAACTAAGATATCTCAGCGCATATGGGTAGGACTCTTCTAAATTGGTTCCCAATTCTTTACTGAAATAAATGGTTTGCACGTACCTCTTCTAACTGTTTTTTCAGATCCATTATTTCTTTTCTGTATCTTTTCAAGAGCGCTTCATCACTTGATACTTCATTAACATAAGGAGTATTCTTCATGTATTTGGCAGTGCTGGCAAACTGGGAAAAAATACAAAAGTGTAAAATGTCCAACACTAAAAAAGTTCTAATTTAATGAATGTTTAAGTTTCTTATAATCAACTTTCTTTAAGAACAAAACAAAACAAAACAAAAACAACAACAAACTCCTCCCAGATAGCTTTTGAAAATGGAGAACATCCTACGTCCTTAATAATGTTCTGTAATTTAGTCTGACAGTCTTTAGGAGAGGGGAAAAAAAAAAACTATCTGTCTGTCTATCTATCTATCTATCTATCCATCTATCTATCTATCTATCTATCTTAACAATAGATACTAACAGAGAACCTGCCAACACTGGCCTACTGGATCCCACTTACCCCTCAAGGTCAAGTGCAAATGCCCTGAAAAGTTTTGCTTCCAGCCCAAAGGCTCTCTCCTTTCTTTGAACTCTGTCCCTCTTATTAACCACTTAGCCATTGATCAAAGCCAACTGAGTTGGTAGACAAGCCTTTTCTGCTTTCTCACAGAATTTACATTTATAGGTTCTGTGAAGCCAGAGACTCTGCTTTCTATCTTTGGAAATACCTCTGACAGTGGCTTCAGGGCTCAGCAGCAACTGAAAAGCAACATTATCCAGAATAAATACCAAGTGAGGGTGAGAAAGCAATTCTGACATTTCTCAATTTTCCTTTCCTTTAAAAAAAATGCAGATCTTGGGATGAGAGCAAAGGAAGGCAAGTCAGCTAGTGAGAATTTAAGAATTGTTTTATACACACACACACACACACACACATATACACACATAATCACACAAATACAGACCAAATTTTTGTTGTTACCTCCTATTTATGGCAAGTAATATTGATTTTTCATTGACAAAGAGTTTCCTCTTATAATTAGTTAAGTGTAAAAAGTGAGGTTTTGGGAAAAAAAATCAAGTCAATTTCAGTAAAATAGTGTTGGCAAAATTGAGGAGGTGGGATACAAATAACTGAAGTTAGGGAAAATTAAGAAATGTTATTTAATAGACAACATATCAATTTTATTTTAACGGGTATTAATTAATTTCTTAAAAAAAAACCTATGCCTAGTTTTAGTATGTAATTTATTACTCTTAAAGTTGATCTTCATGATATTAAGCTAAAATCTTCATCATATTAAGGTAAAAATCAAACTCACCTGAAGAGTAGTAAGGGTTTCATCAAAAGACGCCGGAGTGACCGTGCAGATAATACGTGTTTTTGCATTTCCTCCCAAGGAATTCTGGAGAATTCGTGTTAATTTGCTATCTCGATAATTTATGAAACCACTTTGCAAAAAGTAAAAAGAAGATTAAAAGTTTTTATATAACCAAAGTTAAGGAAGGAAGAACATTTATATCAATCACAATTTAAAAAATTCTTTACAGGTTATATGAGGCCAATTGAAACTATTAACTAAAAAAATTTAGAGTAGAAAGTACATTTGGTGGTACTCAAGTGCTCAGAATCATAAAAGCTTTTGAATATGTGGAAGAAATCAAGACATTTGATTGTCATCGAAAGATTACAATTTCAACCTAATGGAAAATGTAAGCGTTAAGCGGTGAGTAAAGGGGTAAACTTACCCGACTTGCCCATCGCTAAGTTTCTTGATCACTTGTCCCAAAATAAACAAGCTTCGATTTATATTACAGCCTTCCTTGAGTCGCACACCTGAATTTATAAAACAAATGTGAAAACTAAAATTGATTTCTGTTCTAGGTAAAGAAATTGTTGATCTGTAAATTATGAGAGAAATCAGAATTTTGTTTTGGCCATAGCGTTTGTGTGTTTGACAGAGAGAAACAGAGAGACGGAAAGCGAGAAAGTACTCCCCAGGTGGTGGCCACGCCATAATCCCTCCTCCTCCATTCTCCTCTAGGGATTCAGGGCACATGCATGTCTGGCACGTTTTTCAAGCCGCTGGACCCAGCACTCAAACTGCGTAGTTGGACATAAGAGATTCGACAGCGTTCACCACCACAGCACCTGGCTGGCTCTTACAATGTTTTTGTTTTTTTTTTACTTGAACAACAGAAGCTTATTTTCTTATCATTTTAGAGCCTCAAAGTCCAAGGTCAGGTTGCCAGCACAGTCAAGATCTAGTGCTCTCTTCCTGGCTGAGGATGGCCACCTTGTCACTGGGTCCCTCACTGGGGCAGGGAGAGTGAGCCAGGTCTTGGGAGTCTCTTTAAGGACACTAATACCATCAAAAAGGACCTCACCTTTATCTAAACTAATTATTGTACCCCTCAAAGGTCCCCAAACTTTTAATTTACATATATTAGTTGCGCATATTTATGAGGTATAGTGCGACTTTTTTTTTCATTGTATGAATACAAAGTGTAATGATCCAATGGGGCAATAAACATAGCTACTACCTCAGACAATTCTCCTGACTTTCGACAGCTTTTCTTTGTTTATTTATTTAAACATAGAGTTCTCTGGCCACTTATAATCCATTCTCCGCTGTACGGAATGAGGTATGGTGTTCTAACTTCTTTTTTCAAGTGGCTATCAATTCATGAATAATCCATCTTGCCCTAATTCTGAAGGATGACCTTGATGGTATTCTGTCTGCATTTCCGATGCTCGCTGGACTTGTGTCCCATCAGGCTGACAATTAAGGACGCATTGGTATGACACCGTTTCAGATCCTACGGTGTTATTGGTATGTCCTGCTATCTTGGAGGGCTAAATTCCTACTCGCTCCTCTTTTTCAGAATTTTCCTTGCTAGTCTAGTCTGTTTTCCTTCTCCTCATACAAATTTTAAAACAATCTTTTTAAAAGAAGGTAACGCTCTTGTCATTTTTATTAGGACTGTGTTAAATCTGGAAATTGACACCTTTGTGATTTAAAATTTTCCCATCTAAGTATGCCTTCCTATTTTTTTCGTGCATTTGTATCCTTCGGGTCTGGCTTAAACTTTTCTTTACATCAATCTCACACAATCTTTGTTGACTTTCTCTCTTGAAATCACATCTTTTGGGATATTATTATAAATGATGTCTTTCTGTCCACTCAATATTCCAAGCAGTTTTTGACTATGAGTTATTAAAACCTGCAGGTGAACTTTGCACCCCACTGCCTTTCTTTATTTCCTTACTAATTCTGAAAATCTAGCTCGTGCCCACGGTACTCTCCTGGGCTTTCCAGCTATACAATTCCACAAATTATGTAATTTCAGCCTTTAAGCTATAGCAGCCCACAGTAAATACATAATCAGATATAAGTGCTGATTTTTATGTTAAAGGCTTTTATCATAAAATTATTATTATTATTTTATCAGTTTCTAAGAATGCCTGGAAGCACCTTCTGTCCTGCAAAAACAGAAGACAGGAAGGCTAACGCCTGTCGTGGGATTTCATTACCTTCGGCTCCTGTTTGAGCAGCTCTTTCACTGCCTGCAAGGTCAACCAAGTTCTGGAACACATATGAGAAACAAACCATTAGGAAGGGTAATTTCAAATAATAAAATCCAAACCACTAAATGAACTGTTGTAAGGCACGGCATTTCTTTTTTTTTTTTTTTTTTTTTAGAGGTTTTTCCTATAGGGCGCGTGTGCTCACCAGACAGAGAGACAGAGAGACAGAAAGTGAGAAATCATCCCCCGGGGGGATGGTCACGCCGCAATCCCTTCTCCTCCATTCTCCTCTCGGGATCTTGGGCACACACGCACACGCGCCCGGCGTGAGTTTTAAGCCACCGGGTCCGGGACGCGAAACGCGGTCAACTACGTGGGAGTCCAGCGACATAGCCATTACGCTAACTGCTGGTCCCAGGCACGGCATTTCTGAACGTCCCATGTATTTCCTCGCCTCCTGGCCCACGGGTGAGGCTGCCCTCTCTCTGCACGTCAAGTGCTCTCTGCCCCTTGTTCCCTCTCTCCAATGCATCCTCCACGATACTGCCACGGTGGGCTCTTTCCCACACAGCCCACAAGTTTACTTCGGGGAATGAGTCTTTCTTTTTTCTTTTTCTTTAAAGAGTTATTTATTTAATTTTATTTATCATCACTATTATTTTTAGATTTGATACAGGCACTCACCAGAGAGAGTGAGTGAGAGAGAAAGAAAGCCATCAGGTCTGGGACTTGAACTCTGGTCAGTCATGTAGGAGTCTAGTGCCTTATAGCCTGGCATTTGTGCTGTTCCGGCCTCTATCACCGCTCTGAGCTCCAGCTGAACTCACTATTTCCCACACACTCCATGCCCTTCGGCAGTTATGACATAGCAGGTAGAAAGACCCTCTGAATTTCACCAAACACCCAGAGCTCAATTCTGTTTTGGTCCATCTGATACATTTCTGCAGTTCAGTAATACTCACCAGATGGGACACCTTGACAGAGCCTTCACAGTTCGAAGGTTCGCCTTTCTCTCTACTTTCCAAAATCTAGGCAGAAAAGGCAACTCGTAGAAAAATTAGTGTATTCTTACTTGGAAAAACCGAGCAGAGAGAAATAGAGAATTACCTACCATTCTAAAAATGGTATGAGAACGACTGCTTCTTTGATTCATTTTTGTTATTCCATAATGTCTGCTCTCTGTAAAAACCAGTCATATTTAATTGCATACATATGTAAATATATATATATATATACACACACACACATATTAAAGTCCAAAGGAAAACATTAGTTTTAAATTTTAGCTTAATAATAAAAGTATAATTTGAAGACTATTTCATTTTAGCTTAATCATAAAAAGTATAATTTGACTAATATTTTAAAGAAACAGCCCAAAGTCTCACTTTCTCCTTTTGTGATCCATTTCAAAGCCATTTCTGATGTATAAACCACCTCTTCTGTGAGATCAGCAACATACACATTCCTCTGAAATGAATTTAAGTAGCAAACATTAGAGAAAAAGAAGTTACTTAAAAGTCTGTTTTTCAAAGTAAGATGTAAACTATTATAGACCTCATTTATGGAGGTTAAATGTGAAAAATGAAACCATTATTCTGTAAGAAAATAGCAAGCATATTTATAAATATCGATGATTTCTTTCCTAAATCAAAGCATCCCAAGTTTTAATCTGATACTTCTATCTTGCTATTTTTAGGCTCTTAAACCAAAATATTACCGCTGTATTTTCAAGTGATATATATTAATTAAAAGAGGAATTTCTATGACGATGTCACAGAAAATAATAGGAATCAAGAAAACCACACTTTAAAGATATAGGAATTAAAGATAAATATTAAACAGCCATAACCCTAATGAGCGAGCCAGTTATAAAGCCATCTTCCTGCTGTTACTCACATTGAAATCTTCCCGGATTATTAAAGGTTTCATTTTCTGAGTGTCACATAGTAAATCTGTAATAGTTTCATTGTATATCTCCATGTAAGACACACGAAGGAGAAATTCCCTTTCCGGAAACTAGAAGGAAAAAATATGTAAAAACATCAGAAAACACTCAGTTATAAAAGACCTAATGGTAAGTGCTATGTGCTAATACTATGGAGGTCAAGAAGGAAATGATCAATGTAAACAAATGAAACCCTGGTTCTGTGTCGACAACAATAAAGATGGAAAAGCACCGCTTTACAAAGTATACTGCCAAAAACTCAGAGCGGAAACAGCCTGGCCCATCTCCCTAGGTCAAAATAAAACCCCACCACTAAGATGCTCTCATTTTAATGAAAATACTGACTTAAAATCAAATTGACTTAAGTTGCCTATTCTGGCTTTCTGCTATTTCTAATTCATTTCCCTTATGTGCACTTTTACCGTTCCTCAATAATCACTAAACAGCCTTGGCACCCCTGAGAATGCGGCTGTGAGCGGTGTGTAGTGTGCAGGCCGTGGCCTGTGGCGTGCAGTGTGTGGACCGTGGCCTGCAGCTTCCAGCCTGCGCGGCTTTGGCCATGCCCTGCTGGCCCTGCCCACCCAGGCCCTGGAGGCTGAGGGCGGGCACTGGCCAGACGATGCCACAGGACTGGCCCTTCTGTCTGTGTAAATTCATGGAGAAACATGAATGGATAACAGCAGAAAATGGTATTGGAACAGTGGGAATCAGCAATGTTGCAAGGACGCTTTGGGAGATGATTATTGTAGTCTGCCTGGAGTTGGGACAAAACTGAACAAACAAGAGGAGTTGGTGCTTTGGGAAGTGTGAGAGCTGCCAGTGACCTCTCTTCTTCTCTGTCAGGAGACACTGAAATGAATGAAGCTCTTGCAGAAAATCCAAGACTTGTCAACAAATCATGTCATGAAGATGGCTGGCTGACCAGGATGACACTGAGTCACCCTTCAGAACTAGATGAACTAATGAGTGAAGCGTATGAGAAATAAGCAGTCTACTGAAGAGTGAAAATAGAACCGTCAAATGAAGTAGTGTAAAAAACTTAATCCAGGCGTAGTTGTCTTAAATTAGTGGTTGATAGAAGACTTAAATTGTAGCTTTTAATAATACCAGTGGAAGAAGAAACTACTCTGAACACCACCACTGGAAAGAAATAACCCTTAATTTTCTAACGATCATGTTCTTTTTTTTTGGAGAGGTTTTTTTTTTTTTTTTTCACTATAGGGCGCGTGCGCTCGCCAGCCAGACAGAGAGAGACATAGAGACAGAAAGCGAGAAATCACCCCCCAGGGGGGATGGTCATGCTGCAATCCCTTCTCCTCCATTCTCCTCTCGGGATCTTGGGCATGCACGCACACGTGCCCGGTGTGAGTTTTAAGCCACTGGGTCCGGGATGTGAACTGCGGTCGACTACGTGGGAGCCCAGCAACATAGCCATTACGCTAACTGCTGGTTCCCACAGTCATGTTTTTAATAAACACAAAATGCATCTTTGTCACAATATCCTATGATTCTTAGTGTAGGCTCAAGTATTCAGAATTCATTAAATTATCTGTGATTAAAAACTAGTTATAAAAATAATATAATTAGTGGTAACTCTGTTATCCTGAGCCTTATGAAACGTAGTATATAACATCCCTGGAAGTGGGTCAGAACATTTCATTTTCTCTCCATTGGAAGTAAGTGGGAGCGGAGAAAAGTTGTTAGTTGCATAGCGTTGAAGAACAGCACTATTTTAGTTCTGCCATATACTGCATTTGCTGGTGCTATTTTATACAGTTCAAGCAACAGCTCTGCAGCAAAATAAGAAATAATAAAATATTCAATTTCTCCGTTAAAAAAAAAAATCACTAAACAAAGACAGAGTGGAGCTACCCTTCAGGTCACTTTCCTGTTACTCAACGCCCACTTTTTGTCGGGATGTTACTATTACAGGATTCAAGAGGAAGACGAAAGAACTTCAGGGTCTGCGGGATAAGTGAACCTATGCTATGCCTTTCTTCTTGCTCATGGGAATCAAGAAATAAATAACTATTTCCTTTCATCATTACAAGAGAAAAACCCCACTAAGACTGCTATCCAATTATTACTGCGTTTACTTGTATGGACCAGGTATTTGGCCAAGATACTTACCTTCTTAATTTTTTGGAAGATGTCATGAATCGCCCTAGGTATGACTCCCAAAGAGTCTTGAGAGCCCATCATAGTGTATGTTTTTCCCGAAGCAGTTTGCCCGTAGGCAAATATGGTACCTGCCGAAACAAAACACACACGCGAAGATCGAAATGGAATCTACTGATGCACTTGAACAGATGCTGGAGACTGCAATGTCTCTGCAGCGCGGAGTGAGTACGCACCATTGTAGCCTTGTATGGCAGAGTCGATGATCGGTACTGCTATTTCTTCATACACGTGTTTGGTAGTTTCATTGCTATGGAAGACACGATCTAAAGAAACAACAAAACATAACTGAAACCAAACAAATCAACTCTGTTTTCATTCTGAATCAGTATTTACCCAAGGAAGTAAAATTGTCAGGATCTAGGATGGTAAAATATTTAAAACATTGTGTTTTCTTTCTTTTAAAACACTTAAAAAAATAAAATTTGCTAGAGGGCACGTGGGCTGACCAGAGGGTGAGATGGAGTGACAGAGAGACACAGAGAAAAAATAAGAAGGCACTCCTACACAGAGAATGACCATGCCACAATCCCTTCTTCTCCATCTTTCTCTCTTTGGGGATTTTGGATACACATGCACGAGGACCCAGATGTTTTTCAAGCTGCCAGGTCTGGGACTAGAACCACACAGTTAGCCATGTGGGATCCAGTTGCCATAACCACAAGGACATGGGCTGGCCCCTAAGATAGTAATTTCCATTTTTTGATCAGAAATATCCTCCCCTAAGGAAAAACTTATCAGTCCTCACACATACAAAATATACTACAGGTCAACTATCCTATGAGGTTTAAAGAGAAGTAGGGACTCAGTGGTTGCACATAGGGGTCTGAAATTTGTTTTGATTATAATCCTGGTTCTGCCAGCTATGTGACTTTGAGCAAGGCAGTTACTGTTTCTGTACCTCTGCCTGTAATCTGTTAAATAGGTGTGTGTGTGTGTATAATCTTCATCGCAGAATCATCGTAAGCATATAATTAACTAGGTGTGAACTATTATTATTCTTTGAGAAATTTCACTGTTTATAACGTATCTAGCTCAACCTAAATAATGGAACACAGACACTTGCAAGAAAAGCTCGAACGAAGTCAAAGTGTCACAGGGAACGCCCCACAGGCTGGTAAGCCTGGGTTTACGGCAGCATTTGTGCCACGACTTCAGCAACCTAGGGTCTGAGTCTGATTTTACAGCAGACTAAACCGGACCGCTTTTTCAGTGGCGGCCTCGCACTAAGGGGCACACAGGACATGGGAAGAAAATGCACAAACTGGCCATGAGAAATCCAGCCACCATGGTGCTTGCATCATGACAACACCGTCCCGTGGGTGGAACTATCACTATAGAGGAAACCCAAGTGGCATTGGAGGGCTGCTTAGGGGCCATGACTTCAGAGCAAGGGGAGTCAGCTAGACGATTCAGACCTTCATGCCGCCCACCCCAGGCAGCTGCGAGAGTCCAAACCCTCACCCTTGGCATATGGACACTGAAAACGACAGGACTGAGGCTGCGCGGTCGGACGGCCCTCATTCTTGGTTTTGCCATCTTTGCCCCCCCGTTCTACTTTCTTAAAGTTATGCTAATGTCACCCACAGTCCTTTACTTGGAATCATTGACGCCCCATACATCTCTGCTCGAAAACTTCCTGCACTGGCTTCCTAGTTTGACGGTGAAACGGCAAACTGAGCTAGTCTCCTTAAGGTGACAGAGCGGGCCTCCCTGCTGCCGGAGCTTCCTCGGGGCAGCTGGCGGTACAGCTGCAATGCAGATCAGGCCCCGCTGCTTTCACCTGCTGTGTGACTCGAGGCTTCTCTGCTCCCAGTTTTTC